AACAATGAACGACTGTATTTTCATAAACTAACATTAACTAAGATGCATAAATACTGTAATAAATGTATTGTTCAACTGGAAATGGTAAAAAAAAGTACAATTTTAAAGGTAGTAAACATTTTTTTTTTTGAAGCCTTGTCAACAGAATGAAAGCATATTAACAAAGAATGCATGATTTTATGCTTAAGTCACACTGGGATTATAATATTGCTGTTTATTTTAATGAGGACGCGTTTGTTCTTAAGGTCCTAAAATGTAACTCTTATATCGGTAACACTTTACAATAAGGTTCATTAGTTAACATGCATTAAGCATGAACAATACTTCTACAGCATTTATTAATCTTAGTTAATTTCAGCATTTACTAATGCATTATTAAAATCAAAAGTTGTGCTTGTTAGCATTAATTAATGCACTGTGAATTAACATGAACTAACAATGAACGACTGTATTTTCATAAACTAACATTAACTAAGATGCATAAATACTGTAATAAATGTATTGTTCATTGTTTGTTCATGTTAGTTAATACATTAACTAATGGAACCTTATTGTAAAGTGATATCAATATTAAAATGAAAATATTACATATATTAAAAAAAGGAAAAATATGAGGGTGAAATATTAAAATTCCAATAAAAACACATTTTTGGCAAAATTCATGCTGTTTGCATTAACACAGCCGAAATTATCAAAAAAGCAAAAATTAAAAAGACCAAAATGTTCCTAAGGACACACAAGGGTTAAAGCAATAGTTCACCCAAAAATGACACATATATATATATTTTTTTTGAAAACTTGATTATTTAAATCAAATCAAATAGGTGAAAATATTTAACAATAAATTATGCCATGATTTTTTCAGTTTAAAAATCTAACCCGTTTCATTAATATACTGTATGACTGACAAATATGCATCACATTAAGCATATTAGTTCATGTTAAAACAGTTTAATTCAAATGCATGGAGATTTTATATGCAAATCAAATAAATCTATAATAGTAAAAAAGCAAAAAATATATATAGTAAAAAAAAAAGAATATCTTTCTATCTGTCTGTCTATATATTCATGCATATACTCCTCAAAGATAAAGATCCTAGCAGTTTTTTCCTTCAGGGAGCCATGCCCCGACTCCTGACGCTGAGCGACGGACTAACTAACTAGTTACACATAACTACCACTCATCTCAGAACACCATAGATCAGCGCTTACTTTACAGTCCTGTTCCACATGTATATGCTATAGTGATTACAATAAATGGGTAATAAGCAGGTACTAACCCTGACCCTATGCCTAAACCTTATATTAAGCACATGTACCATAAAATAACATGCAACTATTATTTTAGTATTGTTTAGTATTTCGTTTTTTTTTTTTTTTTAAATACATTCATTTTAATTTTAGTTGATTATAAGTTTTAGTAATTTTGTCATTTTTATTATTTTTTCTTTTTTTGTATTTTCTTTCTCAGTTTTAGTTATTTTAGTACTTCAAGTTAAACTAAACGAAAACGAGAAATTTTGTTAGGTGAAATAAAAAATGTTAACGTTTTTTATATTCTGTTTCAGTACATTTTTATTTTATTTCAAGTAATAAATGTTTTTTTTGTATGATTTTAGCTTCATTTTTCATTAGTTTTTGCTGAGGTGATTTATGATTTCAAATAAGACCAAAGCATTAAAATAATAAAAACAAGATATTTCTTACTTTAATTCAAGAACCAGGATTCCTGCCGTCTTGGAAAACCTGGATATTTGAGAAAACCTGTTTTTAAAAGTGTGGATTTGAATTATAAACCTGGCAAAAAAAAGTCATGGAAATGAATAAAATCTTCAAACACAGTGAGCATTTTTATAATGAATGGACATTTTCTAGATATGTCAAGCTCTTATGTATTTAATGGGTTTGAAATGTTGAGTAAATCAGGAACAGCTGGTCAGACGTGATTCCTGACCAACATTCAGCTCTTAAATCTTCAGGAATCCTGAACATCTATTATTTTAATTATAAGTAACTAAAACGATTACTTTAATCTCTGGACACTCCTAGTTTCTGAAAACTGAAATAAGTTTAACATTAGTTAATGCATTAACCAACATCAACTAACAATAAACGATACATTTAATAATAATAATAATAATAATAATAATATCCACACTTTATTTTAAGGTCCAATTCTCATTATTAACAAACTATTACCTCTGCCTTAAAATCTCCTAATTTGCTGCTTATTATTAGTTAGTAAGGTCGTTATGTTCAGGTATTAGTGTGGATTAAGAGATCTAAAGTAAACTTTAATGCTAGTGATATGCCTTCTAATAAACAACTAGTTATTAGTGAGAACTGGTCCTTAAAATAAAGAGTTACCAATGATATTAAAAGATAAAACATTTGATTGTACTGATATTTTTGCTTGTTAGTTCATGTTAACTGATGGAGTTACCAAGCCAGTGTTATTTTAGTATCATTGAGAGATACTATATTATAGTTTGTCAATATTTAGAATCTATATTTTCTGCTTTTGTGGTAATTTTAGTTAAAGTTTTAGTAATTCTGTTGCGTATATTTATCATGCTTCATTTTTCATTAGTTTTTGCTGAGGTGATTTATGATTTCAAATAAGACCAAAGCATTAAAATAATAAAAACAAGATATTTCTTACTTTAATTCAAGAACCAGGATTCCTGCCGTCTTGGAAAACCTGGATATTTGAGAAAACCTGTTTTTAAAAGTGTGGATTTGAATTATAAACCTGGCAAAAAAAAGTCATGGAAATGAATAAAATCTTCAAACACAGTGAGCATTTTTATAATGAATGGACATTTTCTAGATATGTCAAGCTCTTATGTATTTAATGGGTTTGAAATGTTGAGTAAATCAGGAACAGCTGGTCAGACGTGATTCCTGACCAACATTCAGCTCTTAAATCTTCAGGAATCCTGAACATCTATTATTTTAATTATAAGTAACTAAAACGATTACTTTAATCTCTGGACACTCCTAGTTTCTGAAAACTGAAATAAGTTTAACATTAGTTAATGCATTAACCAACATCAACTAACAATAAACGATACATTTAATAATAATAATAATAATAATAATAATATCCACACTTTATTTTAAGGTCCAATTCTCATTATTAACAAACTATTACCTCTGCCTTAAAATCTCCTAATTTGCTGCTTATTATTAGTTAGTAAGGTCGTTATGTTCAGGTATTAGTGTGGATTAAGAGATCTAAAGTAAACTTTAATGCTAGTGATATGCCTTCTAATAAACAACTAGTTATTAGTGAGAACTGGTCCTTAAAATAAAGAGTTACCAATGATATTAAAAGATAAAACATTTGATTGTACTGATATTTTTGCTTGTTAGTTCATGTTAACTGATGGAGTTACCAAGCCAGTGTTATTTTAGTATCATTGAGAGATACTATATTATAGTTTGTCAATATTTAGAATCTATATTTTCTGCTTTTGTGGTAATTTTAGTTAAAGTTTTAGTAATTCTGTTGCGTATATTTATCATATATATATGACGCATACATAAAACGTTAATCAGAGGACAGAAAAGTGCAGAAAAAGTCATCAAAATATTATATATTAATACTTTTTTCTGCTTTCACTGACATGCCAGTTTCAAAAAACTACAAAAAAAATTCAGGATTTTAACCCTTTAAACGCCAGTTTGTTTACATCATTTGACTTTTCTTTTTTTTACCTTTTTCATTTTTAATTTATTTACATTTTTTCAGTTTTAGTTATGTTTGTATTTCAGGTTAAACTGAGTTGACTTAAGTTTAGGTTAAATTGGGTTAAATGAGGTTAAATTAAGTTTTTATATTTTATTTTATTTCAAGTAATAAAATATTTTATTGGTTTTAGTTTTTGTAAAGGTGATTTGTGATTTAAAATACAAACTGTTTAAAATCCCAGATATTTTAATGAAAAAACAAACACAAAAAGTGAATTCTTTTCCATGTACTACATGCTAAACAGATTTTTTTGGATTATTACAGTCTTGGATGAGTCAATTAAAAACAACATTATTTTTATGCATTATTAATTTTTGTGCATTCACACCCAACACAGACTCTGATATCCATACCAACACACCCACACAATTATAATCACATCACAATTATAATTATATTTTCAGTTCAACTGGAAATGGTAAAAAAAAGTACAATTTTAAAGGTAGTAAACATTTTTTTTTTTGAAGCCTTGTCAACAGAATGAAAGCATATTAACAAAGAATGCATGATTTTATGCTTAAGTCGCACTGGGATTATAATATTGCTGTTTATTTTAATGAGGACGCGTTTGTTCTTAAGGTCCTAAAATGTAACTCTTATATCGGTAACACTTTACAATAAGGTTCATTAGTTAACATGCATTAAGCATGAACAATACTTCTACAGCATTTATTAATCTTAGTTAATTTCAGCATTTACTAATGCATTATTAAAATCAAAAGTTGTGCTTGTTAGCATTAATTAATGCACTGTGAATTAACATGAACTAACAATGAACGACTGTATTTTCATAAACTAACATTAACTAAGATGCATAAATACTGTAATAAATGTATTGTTCATTGTTTGTTCATGTTAGTTAATACATTAACTAATGGAACCTTATTGTAAAGTGATATCAATATTAAAATGAAAATATTACATATATTAAAAAAAGGAAAAATATGAGGGTGAAATATTAAAATTCCAATAAAAACACATTTTTGGCGAAATTCATGCTGTTTGCATTAACACAGCCGAAATTATCAAAAAAGCAAAAATTAAAAAGACCAAAATGTTCCTAAGGACACACAAGGGTTAAAGCAATAGTTCACCCAAAAATGAATATTTCCTAAAATGTGCTCACTCTCAGGTTATTCAAGATCAGGATGAGTTTGTTTCTTCGTCAGGTTTGTAGAAATGTAGCATTGCAGCAGTGTCTCACTGCAAGTGAATGGGTGCCGTCAGAACGAGAGCTGATAAAAACATCACAATAATCCACAGCACTCCAGTCCATCAGTTAACATCTGGAGAATATATTTTACAGAAGCGTTTTGACAATATAATTTCATAGACAATTTTACAAAAAGTATTTTTGACACCTAATGGTTTTCCCCGAGTCGAAAACGACCCGAACACAAAACGTGTTACAGTATATCACTTAAAAAAAAACATGTAACAAATCAGAAAAAGTGTATTTTGAGGCTCTTAAAGCATTTTCAAAGTCTCATCCCTTTACTAAAAAACATGCATTTTTAAAAAAAGTTTTTTAAGAATGTAGAAACCGCAGGCGAGTCATTCTGAGACGCTCGCATGAGCTCAATTCATCCAGTCTGAACATAGCCTGAGCTCTCGGGTATTAAGGGTAAATCTACGTACTCCGGCAGACTGGAGGGAGCGAGAGCCGTATCTTCAGCGCTCGCACAGATCTTCAGTGGAAGCACGTCTTCATGATCGGATACCAAAGACACGCGGTGCTCCAGCTGTATGATGCTCTTCTCCGGCGGGAACACACGCTCCAGCTTCAGCGTGCAGATCGAGCCGCTGCCCTGTTTGCATTGAGCAAGAAAGCACGTTAAGATGAATTAACCCCTTAAAGCCCACCCCCCATTTTTGGACATAGACGTGAAAGTGCACTATCCAAATTTGAATTATCATAATTCATGATGAAAACTTTGGAATACAGACCTAAGCTTGGACTCCTTTTAAGAAGACAATCTGCAGATTACTCCAGAAGTGGAATCATTTCAAAATATTAAAGTATCAAAAAGTTATAGAAGTTTAAATTTACTGTAAAGAAAATGCACTGTACCGCTTTATTTTTAATTTTTGTATAAAGTAAATATTTTGCTAAATATTTTTGAATCCAAAATTGATATAAAATTACAGCCTTGTGTCTAAATAAGTTATGTTTCAAATTTGAAGTTGATATTAAAAAAAATTGAGGTTCCTGTGAGATTTTATTTTGGGCGTTATACCACAAACAGCCACCGGGTGCCACCCAAGCTCTGTAGAATTTAATAAATGTCTAAATATCTCTGTCAATATTACTTCTATCGAAACATAACGACCAAATATGGAATCTTGAGACTCAGACCTTTCCAAATATATCTATTTTGTCAAAATTCTAAAAAGAGCGTAATGCATTTTGTAATGTGACACTCGACTCCGCCCACTAAGTGGGAGGAGACCGCTAAAAGATTTTAAAGTACCATTTCCATGGTAACGCAATGTCCGATTTAAAAATGGTGAATTCTGAGGCTTTAAGCTTTCAAATGAAATATAATTTATGATGATTACTAAAATATGTGATCTCGTTTGTGTGTCAAAACGAGAGCGCCATTGGGCCCACCTGTGGGCCGGTGGCACTTAAGGGGTTAAAAATGCTTTCGGGCCATTTTTGAGTATCATTTGGTGTCAAAATCTACTAAATATCTATCCAATTATATTAGCGTTAATACACTTTTATACAATATTTTTTCACATTTTCCCCATAACTCACACACTTGAATTTGGGTGATAAACATGAATAATTACATCTATTGACGAACCATCGCAGAATAATATATTCATCACTTTTCTTCATCTGAAGGTGAATTTTTATGCAAGTAAAACTAATGCATTTTTCAGAGTAATATATAGAAATAAATATGTAGGTTTCGTGAATTTGGACTGTTTTTGAGCAATTATGAGTTATACACTGCCGTTCATTCTAATAATATTTCACTATTTTACTGTATTTTTAATCAAATAAATGCAGCCTTGCTGAACAGAAGAGACTTCTTTAAAACAAATTACAAATCGTACTGATCCCAAACTTTTGAACGGCAGTGTGAATTCAAATAAATGTAATTAAATTCCATTAATTCCAATGTGTTAATACAGATCATTCTCAGATCATATGCTCTTATAAATTTCATACAATGATATATTTAAAAACAATTCTCATAAACATTGAAAAATATATATTTTAGTGTTTTTCCCCCCATGTGCAATTTCAAAGAATTTCTAATTTTTTAATTAATAAAAAAGGGGCAAATGCAGTTATAACATTCAAATAATGTTAAAAACTCACTAATAAGAAGCTGCTGATCTGATACTACATGGCTTTAGTTTAAGTTACGACTGCATTATAATATATGTGTCCCTGCAGCACAAAAGCAGTGTTAAGTCGCTGGGGGATATTTGTAGCAATAGCCAACAATACATTGTATGGCTCACAATTATACATTTCTCTTTTATGCCAAAAATCATTAGGATATTAAGTAAAGATCATGTTCCATGAAGATATTTTGTACATTTCCTACCGTAAATATATCAAAACTTCAGGTTTGATTAGTAATATGCATTGCTAAGAACTTCATTTGAACAACTTTAAAGATGATTTTCTCAATATTTAGATTTTTTTGCACCCTCAGATTCCAGATTTTCAAATATTGTTCTATCCTAACAAACCATACATCAATGGAAAGATTATTTATTCAGCTTTCAGATGATGCATTAATCTCAATTTCGAAAAATTGGACCCTTATGACTGGTTTTGTGCTCCAGGGTCACATATAACGATTCTTCAGATCCAAAGCAAGTGAAAACAGTGCACAGATGAACCGACTCTGACCTGAAGATGTGGCTCGAGGAGCCAGCGTCCGATCAGACTGTACCTCGGATTGGCGATGAAGGGGAAGAAATATTCCCTGCACCTGTGTGTAAAGTCATGACGGAGTTATTAACGGAGCCAAATCAAGACAACGTGATTGGTTTTTCCATGAGTTCAGTGCTTACATGGTCCTCGTCAAAACAGAGAACATCCCCAAAACGAGAAGCAGGAGAAGCACTGGAACAGCAAACCTCAGCATCTCATCATAATCTGGAAAATCAAGAAGCACTTCAGCATCAGCATCCGTTGTTTCTTTTGTAACGTTTATATTAATTACTATCTTTTTACTGAAAGCAAGGAGACAGTTGAGATTACGTTATACAGCGATTACAGTCTCTAACAAACACTCTTAAACATTATATACCATGCATATCACAGCTTTATTGCTGTATTGATGTTGCATTTGTGCTCGATCAGTATGGAGAACCAAACCTGGAGAAATGAAAAAAAAATAAATAAATAAATGCAATAATAGGAAAATAAATGACTTGATAAAACAAATATGATTAATTTGTAATTAAATTTAGCACTGAATTAATTTTTGTATTACTTTTTTAATTTATTAATTATTTTCTGTATTTATTTTTAACTATTTTTATTCTTTTTCAATGTATTTATTTATTTTATTTATTTATTTTTAAATAAATATTTATTTTGTTTTATTTCTTTATTCATTCATTCATTAATTCATGAATTTTTTGTATTTATTTTTAACTATTTTCTTATTTATTTTACTTTTTCAATGTATATATTTATTTTATTGTTTTATTCATCAATTTTTTGTATTAATTTTTAAACTATTTTAATTATTTTTTTATGTATTTATTTATGTTATTGTTTTATTTATTTATTTTATTGTTTTATTTGTTTATTCATTAATTAATTCATGAATTCTTTAAAAAACATTTTTATTATTTTTCAATGTATTTATTTATTTTATTGTTTTATTTATTTATTCATCAATTTTTTGTATACATTTTTAACTATTTTTATTTCTTTTTTAATGTATTTATTTCTGTTATTGTTTTATTTATTTATTCATTAATTCATTCATAAATTTTTTTTGTATTTATTTTAAACAATGTTTATCCTAATTCATATGTATTTATTAATTTTATTGTTTTATGAATTTTGTTTTAAATAAATAAAATAAAATAAATAAATTTTATTTGATTGTTTTATTCATTTATCCATTAATTGTTGTATAAATTTTTTAACTTTTTAAATTTTTTTATGTATTTATTTATTTTGTTTTAAATAAATAAACAAACAAAATACATATTTATTTTATTGTTTTATTTATTTCATTTTTTGTATTTATTTATTCCCACATGTATTTATTTCCATATTTATTTATTTTTACTTTTCTGCCTGCAGGATGAAAATGAGGAAATAAAAATAAATGGAAATAAATAATTTAATTAAAGAATAAAAATAAAATAAAAAATACTTAATTGAATCATAAATACACAGGGGAAAATTATTCAAATTCAAAATAAATTTGTATTTGTTTTATCAAGTAATTTATTTTCCTATAATTACATTAACCCATTAATTTCTTCTTAATTCCTGCAGGTTTGCTCCTCCACACACCAGCACATCTTACCCAGAAGCAGCGTGCTGACGTCCAGACTGGCCTTCGAGAAGTCCCCGGATGTGGTTTCTCCGTGAATGTGGATCGAGTATCTCGTGTTCGGACGGAGCCGGAGGAACGAGTGCTGCTGTTTGTCAGGAAAGACTGTGAGAGCTGAGGACACAGAGTGAGAGTGAACTACAGACTATAGTACACTAGATAATCTCAGGTGATTATGTGCTTTATTCAGAGTTAAACCTGTCTAATATGAGTTTAAATATCATTTTGTGTGACCTTATAGCCAAACTGAAAGCAACAACATACAAGTTAGTTTACCCCAGATCTTGGAAATAAATTAAAGCAAAGATGTGCGTTAAAACTGTGAACTCACTGCGTGCGAACCAACGAGTGTATTCCATAACAAAGACGGTATCAGTCACGCAGTATGTACATTTAATGATGTTAAAAAGCTTTAATATTTATGAATTAGATAATAAACGTATATCCCTTTCGTTGCGAGTGCAGTGCGCTTCCAGAGAGGCTCCGCCCACACACGCTTCTGATTGGCTGAGATATTTGAATAATTCTGTCGTGTCTGGTGTGGACACACACGCCGCTTTATCGCTGTGTACTTATGCACTGTGCACTTACGCACTGTGCACTTACGCACTTACGCACTTACGCACTGTGCACTTACGCACTTACGCACTGTGCACTTACGCACTTACGCACTGTGCACTTACGCACTGTGCACTTACACACTGTGCACTTACGCACTATGTACTTACGCACTGTGCACTTACGCACTGTGCACTTACGTTGCGAGTGCAGTGCGCTTCCAGAGAGGCTCCGCCCACACACGCTTCTGATTGGCTGAGATATTTGAATAATTCTGTTGTGTCTGGTGTGGACACACACGCCGCATTATCGCTTGACGGAGGGCGTTTCTGAAGCTTGGTGCTGATGAGACCGTCATAGTGACAACAGCCAATCACATTAGTCTTCTGGTGTAGCATGAATGCGATTGGCTAGTGTCTGCGCTAGGGTATTTGCATAAGGCGATCTGATTGGCTGACGCCTGCTTTGGTGCTTGAAAAGTTGAGAAGTTTTCAAAGTTTTCAACTTCTGCCGCGATCGACGGACCCACAATTCATTTCGCCAACGCTTGACGTCACTCCATTCAAAGTAAACGAGAGGCATTGACGCTGACGGGGCGTCAAATTGCTTGTCGCTGGAATCTTGTCCCGTCGCGTGTAGTTAGTTAGGACACGGTGTGAGAAGCTGCGTCCCAAATGACGCACTATACACTGTGCACTTATACACTGTGCACTCTGTACTTACGCACTGTGCACTTGTGTACTTACGCACTGTGCACTTACGCACTGTGCACTTATGCACTGTGTACTATGTACTTACGCACTGTGTACTATGTACTTAGGCACTTTGCACTTACGCACTGTGCACTATGTACCTGTGCACTTACGCACTGTGTACTATGTACTTACGCACTGTGCACTTACGCACTGTGCACTATGTACTTACGCACTGTGCACTTACACACTGTGTACTATGTACTTACGCACTGTGCACTTATGCACTGTGTACTTACGCACTATGTACTTACGCACTGTGCACTTACGCACTGTGCACTTACGCATTGTGCACTTATGCACTGTGTACTTATCCACCACTGTGCACTTACGCACTGTGTACTTACGCACTATGTACTTAAGCACCGTGCACTTACGCACTGTGCACTTACGCACTGTGCACTTACGCACTATGTACTTACGCACTGTGCACTTACGCACTATGTACTTACGCACTGTGCACTTACGCACTATGTACTTACGCACTGTGCACTTACGCACTATGTACTTACGCACTGTGCACTTACGCACTATGTACTTACGCACTGTGCACTTACGCACTATGTACTTACGCACTGTGCACTTACGCACTATGTACTTACGCACTGTGCACTTACGCACTATGTACTTACGCACTGTGCACTTACGCACTATGTACTTACGCACTGTGCACTTACGCACTATGTACTTACGCACTGTGCACTTACGCACTATGTACTTACGCACTGTGCACTTACGCACTATGTACTTACGCACTGTGCACTTACGCACTATGTACTTACGCACTGTGCACTTACGCACTATGTACTTACGCACTGTGCACTTACGCACTATGTACTTACGCACTGTGCACTTACGCACTATGTACTTACGCACTGTGCACTTACGCACTATGTACTTACGCACTGTGCACTTACGCACTATGTACTTACGCACTGTGCACTTACGCACTATGTACTTACGCACTGTGCACTTACGCACTATGTACTTACGCACTGTGCACTTACGCACTATGTACTTACGCACTGTGCACTTACGCACTATGTACTTACGCACTGTGCACTTACGCACTATGTACTTACGCACTGTGCACTTACGCACTATGTACTTACGCACTGTGCACTTACGCACTATGTACTTACGCACTGTGCACTTACGCACTATGTACTTACGCACTGTGCACTTACGCACTATGTACTTACGCACTGTGCACTTACGCACTATGTACTTACGCACTGTGCACTTACGCACTATGTACTTACGCACTGTGCACTTACGCACTATGTACTTACGCACTGTGCACTTACGCACTATGTACTTACGCACTGTGCACTTACGCACTATGTACTTACGCACTGTGCACTTACGCACTATGTACTTACGCACTGTGCACTTACGCACTATGTACTTACGCACTGTGCACTTACGCACTATGTACTTACGCACTGTGCACTTACGCACTATGTACTTACGCACTGTGCACTTACGCACTATGTACTTACGCACTGTGCACTTACGCACTATGTACTTACGCACTGTGCACTTACGCACTATGTACTTACGCACTGTGCACTTACGCACTATGTACTTACGCACTGTGCACTTACGCACTATGTACTTACGCACTGTGCACTTACGCACTATGTACTTACGCACTGTGCACTTACGCACTATGTACTTACGCACTGTGCACTTACGCACTATGTACTTACGCACTGTGCACTTACGCACTATGTACTTACGCACTGTGCACTTACGCACTATGTACTTACGCACTGTGCACTTACGCACTATGTACTTACGCACTGTGCACTTACGCACTATGTACTTACGCACTGTGCACTTACGCACTATGTACTTACGCACTGTGCACTTACGCACTATGTACTTACGCACTGTGCACTTACGCACTATGTACTTACGCACTGTGCACTTACGCACTATGTACTTACGCACTGTGCACTTACGCACTATGTACTTACGCACTGTGCACTTACGCACTATGTACTTACGCACTGTGCACTTACGCACTATGTACTTACGCACTGTGCACTTACGCACTATGTACTTACGCACTGTGCACTTACGCACTATGTACTTACGCACTGTGCACTTACGCACTATGTACTTACGCACTGTGCACTTACGCACTATGTACTTACGCACTGTGCACTTACGCACTATGTACTTACGCACTGTGCACTTACGCACTATGTACTTACGCACTGTGCACTTACGCACTATGTACTTACGCACTGTGCACTTACGCACTATGTACTTACGCACTGTGCACTTACGCACTATGTACTTACGCACTGTGCACTTACGCACTATGTACTTACGCACTGTGCACTTACGCACTATGTACTTACGCACTGTGCACTTACGCACTATGTACTTACGCACTGTGCACTTACGCACTATGTACTTACGCACTGTGCACTTACGCACTATGTACTTACGCACTGTGCACTTACGCACTATGTACTTACGCACTGTGCACTTACGCACTATGTACTTACGCACTGTGCACTTACGCACTATGTACTTACGCACTGTGCACTTACGCACTATGTACTTACGCACTGTGCACTTACGCACTATGTACTTACGCACTGTGCACTTACGCACTATGTACTTACGCACTGTGCACTTACGCACTATGTACTTACGCACTGTGCACTTACGCACTATGTACTTACGCACTGTGCACTTACGCACTATGTACTTACGCACTGTGCACTTACGCACTATGTACTTACGCACTGTGCACTTACGCACTATGTACTTACGCACTGTGCACTTACGCACTATGTACTTACGCACTGTGCACTTACGCACTATGTACTTACGCACTGTGCACTTACGCACTATGTACTTACGCACTGTGCACTTACGCACTATGTACTTACGCACTGTGCACTTACGCACTATGTACTTACGCACTGTGCACTTACGCACTATGTACTTACGCACTGTGCACTTACGCACTATGTACTTACGCACTGTGCACTTACGCACTATGTACTTACGCACTGTGCACTTACGCACTATGTACTTACGCACTGTGCACTTACGCACTGTGCACTTATGCACTGTGTACTCAAGGGTCTGGTAGCCCCTCCCCCTTCACTACGTAATCAAAGCTGCGACAGTCGAGTGCATGACGTGTCCAACATTCCACACTTCGTTTTTTCGGTTAAGTGCATCATCCGGGTATTTAGAGTGCACTTTTTCTTTTAGGAATTTTCAGTGTGAATGCACTACTCTCACTGTTTATACTACAAAATGTCATAGAAGCGTGCATAAGTAAGCGATTTGAGACACACCTAGAGATTCGACACGCACACAGCACGTTCACACACACACACTCACACACACTCACACACACTCACACTCACACACACACCACTGACTCACTCCGAGTCTCAAGCGGCCCGTTCAACACGAGTCGGTACCGAAGCACGCTAACGCTGGGCGTGGCCTCCTGCCAGATCCACTGCACCGCCACAGACGAGCTCGTCACGTTCACCAGACGGAACCGGACCAGATCCAGCAGAGCTGAAGTACAGAACACAGATCAGAGCATCTGACAGCGCTTTGTGAAGCTTGGGCATTTTCATCTTCATTTACCGCCGTGTTGTAGATCCGCAGAGATGGAGGCCGGCGGCCCGCAGAGAGACTCGTAGACGGGGAACACGCTGATGACGTACTTCTGCTGCGCTGCAATGCCTTCCAGCAGCAAACGATTTCACATTGACACACTCTTTTATATCACTTGCATACAGATTCATGTGACCCAGAACCACAAAACCAGTCTTAAGTGTCAATTGTTCAAAAAAGCTGAATAAATAAGCTTTCCATTGATGTATGGTTTGTTAGGAGAGGACAATATTTGAAAATCTGGAATCTGAGGGTGCAAAAAAATCTAAATATTGAGAAAATCATCTTTAAAGTTGTCCAAATGAAGTTCTTAGCAATGCATATTACTAATCAAACATTAAGTTTTGATATATTTACGGTAGGAGATTTACAAAATATCTTCATGGAACATGATCTTTACTTAATATCCTAATGATTTTTGGCATAAAAGAGAAATGTATAATTGTGACCCATACAATGTATTGTTGGCTATTGCTACAAATATCCCCCAGCGACTTAACACTGCTTTTGTGCTGCAGTATTCTAATCATTATTTTTACTGATTCTCATTAGATTTTCATTGCTTTCGGACGAATCTTGTAAGATGAAAGTTGCTTGGGATAGAAGCATCTGCTGTAGGAATAAATGCACTTTAATACTGTTTTACTTTATTACACGGAACAAAAATACAGTAATACAAAAATGTTTAAATCAGCAGAAAGGCAGCACAATGGTATAAATATAAAAGTATAAATAATTTAAATGACATTAAAGAGAATCTGGAGAGACGTCAGGTTATTTGTCATGAAAATCATGTCACAATGTTAAAAACCGTAATGCTCTGAAATAAATACATAATTCTTATTAATGTAATGTATAAGCAATAAAAATAGCTTATTTCGATTTTTAGATTAAATACAAAAAAAAAATAATCACACTATGAAAACAAAACAAAAAACATTAAAAAAGCAAACATGACAACATGTGATTTTTAAAACTGTATTTAACACATTATTAATTTTTTAAAAATTAGTTTTTTACAAAATGTCTTATATTACACAATTTTTAGATTTTAATTTTTTAGATTTATTTACAAATTTTGTGTGTGTGTGTGTTTTCCTGATGCTCAAACAGTAAAAGCATGGCGCTCGCAACACTAAGAGCACGGGTTCAAGTCCAGCAAAATGCACGTGCTTCTAATGCAGTTCGGAGGGACATGAGGTTATCTGTCAAAAATCGTAATGCTCTAAAAGAAATACCTAACTCTTATAAATGTAATGTATAAGCAATACAATAAAATTGCTTATATAAATAAATAAAATTGCTTATTTATTCAAACTTTACACAAAAAAACTAACAAACATGAGAACATGATTTTTTAAAAACGCATTTAACACTGTATTAATTATTTATAACTTTTATAAAGTTTTATAAACAGCATTTTAAATTTAACATTTTCATTTAATTTAATTATTTTATTAAATTTATTTTTATTAAAAAAAAATTTTAAATTTTTTTTATTCTATTCTATTCTATTCTATTTTATGCAATGCAATGCAATGCGATGCCTGAAGCTCAAACACTAAAGCATGACGGTTGGAAAGCCATGTGTTCGACTCCCATTAGGTTTGGGTTAGGATATGATCCAGACATGTTTTGTGAGCTTCACTCATGAATACTGTCACACGTCACATGTATTCTGTGTAATCAGACCTGGCAGAGAGACTGTAAAGGTGGATCCGGTGACTCGTTCCCAGCGTCTGTGCTCGCGCTCGGTCGCGGCGCTCCATTCGATGGCGAACTCGCTGACGTTTACCGCGGTGAACTCGTGTTCCCAGCAGATCCGCAGTGAAGGCCCGTCAGGATAAACCCAGAGACTCTTCAGCGCCGGCACATCTGACGGAAAACACGACGCATTCAACAACACAAGAACTAGAATCAAAACCGTAGCTGTGACTCTTAATCTCTCAATTCTATTCTACTGAGAAAAGACTGTTCATGAGAAATGAGTACCGTGAGTCCGAGACGCGTCGAGCGTGAGCCGGCGGTGCGGTGAGCATCCCACGCTGTTAAAGGCACAAACAGAGAGCTCGTACTCCTCTGACCTTACAGGAACAACTACCTACAGACACAAACACCACTCATTTATCCAGCCGCAGTCAGAAACTCTGATGATGATTTCTTATTCAGAATGACTCACTTGTAAATGCTTTTCTAACAATGCTGATGAATGTTTGATTTGATAAAAATCATAAAATAAAATAAAAACACCCACACAATGAAAATATATTTAACCAATTTCTAACTATATATCTATTATATTGTGTATATATATTTCTAAATTATTATTATTATTATTTATATATTAATTCATACATTAATTGTGTATGAATTAGTATGAATTAATGAAAAAGTAAATAATAAAAATAAAATAATTAAATTAAATTAAAATAATAAAATAAAATAAAAACATCCACACAATGAAAATTTATATATTTCTAAATACCAAATTATTATTAATAATTTATGTATGAATTCTAACAGGCGGACATTTCTTTACTTAATCAAAAGTAAATAATAAAATAAACTAAAACAATAAAATGAAATAATAAAAAACATTAAATGAAAATATATTTAAGCCATTTCTGACAGGTAGACATTTCTTCACTTAATCAAAAATAAATATTAAAATAAAATAAATTAAAAACACCCACACAATGAAAATGTATTTAACCAATTTCTGACATTTCTAACTTTATAAATGATTATATTTTGTATATATTTCTAAATACTAAATTATTATTATGTGTATATTAATTCATACATGAATTGCATATGAATTCTAACAGGCAGAAATTTCTTCACTTAATCAAAAGTAAATAATAAAATAAAAAATGTACTAAAATCATAAAATAAATAAAATAAAAGGAAATAAAAACAGCCACACAATGAAATTGTACTTAACCAATTTCTGACATTTCTAACCTAATTCTGACATTTCTAACCTAATTCTAACAGGTAGACATTTAATCACTTCATCAAAAAAATGAAATAAAACAAACTCTACCTTGAGATGAGCGGTGTGGAAGGTTATCTTCAGAGAGGGCTGTTTGATGGGCATGTAGGACACTTCATATCCTTGAATGAGCCCTCGAGCGTCTGTGACATCCAGAGCCTTCAGAAACACACACCACTGAAGATCTGCAGCACGAGAGAGAAAACACACACACACACTCACTCACACACTCGCACACACACACGCACACGCACACGCACACACACTCACACACTCGCACACACACACTCTCACACACACACGCACACACACGCTCGCACTCACACACAGTCTCACACACACACGCTCCCACACACACGCACACACACTCGCACACACACACTCTCACACACACACGCACACACACGCTCGCACTCACACACAGTCTCACACACACACGCTCCCACACACACACACACACGTGCACACACACTCGCTCACACACACACTCTCTCTCACACACACACTCACACACTCTCTCTCACACACACACACGCACACACACGCTCGCACTCACACACAGTCTCACACACACACGCTCCCACACACACACACACACGTGCACACACACTCGCTCACACACACACTCTATCTCACACACACTCACACTCTCTCACACGCTCTCACGCACACGCTCACACACTCACACGCTCACACTCTCTCTCACACACACACACTCACACACTCACTCTCACACACACACACGCACACACTCTCTCTCTCACCCACGCGCACACACACACACACACACACACACACACACACACACACACACGTGCTATATTACCTTCCAGAGAAGCACCAGCTGCCGAACCCTGGCGTTTTCATCTGAATCCACATAATAACTGAGAGAGAGAGCAGCAGTCGGCACTGCAAACACACATGAAAGATGACTTTCACACTGATGCAGAACATGACAGCAGAAATACAGCGGCAGCCAAACACAGTGTTGGGGAAAGTTACTTTTAAAAGTAATGCATTACAATATTGCGTTACTCCATAAAAAAGTAACTAATTACGGTATTTAGTCACTTTTTATGGAAAGTAATGCGCTACATTACTTTTGCGTTACTTTTTAAATCTGGACAGGGCTTGCTTGTTTGTTTTTAAAATAAAAAGTTATATTTTTGGCAAATATAAAAGCCTTTTCACACCAAAAGTGAAATGAATAAGCCTCAGGCTGAAGGGAAAGTACATTTACGTCCGTACAGTAGAATGCAGAAGAAGACATTTCAACACACTTGAAAAAGACACAAATGTTTGTCTTATTAGTACGCTTGAACTGGATTTCGAAGGTCAGAAGCAAATAGAATGGGATTAAATACATAAAGGATATTTGTGTTGTTTAACATTTAATTATTGCAGGTTTGCGTCATATTCTGAGTTGCATTATTTTTATTCATTTTGAGGAATACTGAATCTGTGTTTTTTTTGTGAGATGAATTAATGCATATTCATATCTATTTTAGAACTACAGTAACATCTTCTGATTTCTCTCAACATGGCGACACCAGAGCTGTCAATCAATAAATTGGGAAAAAAAAAAGTAACTTGCGTCACTTATTTGAAAAAGTAACTCAGATATTCTCTTGTAAATTAAAAAGTAATGCGTTACTTTACTAGTTACTTGAAAAA